TCGACCCCTCTGGTTCGCAGCGATGCTGCAAATCACGGAGAAGGAGCACACACCTGTGACAGGCTCTGATGGCAGCTTGTTCTTGACTCAATTTGACTCACACTAGGTGGTGAACTCTTCGCTGGCTTATGCAAACCCTGTCGGGAACGACAGGCTGCTACTTGAGCTTAGAATTTTATGTACTGCCATCAACGACTTGTGGAAAGTGCGATTCTCGAAACTTGCAAGCTTTCCACAAATCTCAGCCAGTGGTGGCGCAGCACAGTATTCGTGCTTGAAACTCTCTGCTGCATCTTCTTCTTCACTGCAATCAATCTCGCTGCCTCGCCCACATGACACCACTTCATCCTAAGACTATATATCCAGCACAGTTCATGCCCTAAAAAAATGACGGGCCGGCGCATCAAGCTGAGCTGCACTGCCCCAGATTTAAACTGGCCAAGTGGTGTCGAGAGCGAGACGTGGAGATTTATAGCGGACAGTTATACGCAGCAGCATCGCGCGATCGATCAACAAATTTGCAGGGTGACCCTAAACCCTAAACGAACACTCTGGAGGATAGATCCCCTCCTCACCTGGCAGCAATCAGGAACAGAAAGTTCACGGAGAACTGTTGGTTCTGTGATCAGTGGGGTATCAACTGCGCGATGTTGTGTTACGCTGCGCAGTATCCAATGCAGAGTCCGATCAGGATCGGAATCCTCCGTTCCCCTGTCCCCCGAAGACTATCAGCAGGTGACCCCCCTCCCCCCTGTCCCCTATTTAACAGGAAACAACACTTGCAGACGATATTTAATTGAACTTGAAAGGCCCAAATCTACCATGGTTCAGGGGCTAACAGCGAGGGCTATGATGTCCGGGCGAACTTCAAGCCTGTAATTCGGAGCCGGACAGCGCTCGGGGAACGGATTCATCATGGCCTGCGAACTCCGCTGCGTCTCAAGTCCCAACTCATACTCTCCCTGAGCCGGCTTCCTTCAATCCCTAAACCCTAAACCCTAAACCCTAAACCCTAAACCCTTCAATGCGCCTCAGAGTTTCCAAAGCACCCGACGAGAGTTCCGGCGCCATGCAAAGCTTGCACGGACTTCCACACCTTGTTAAAATAAGGGCACCCTTTTTTGGGGTGTTGGTTACCTTTACTTTATAACCAGGAACCCTATTTTGATAAGGGCACCCTCTTTGGGGTTGGTTGCTTTATAGGGGAGCCTTGAACCCCAAAAAAGGGAAAAGGGTACCAGTGGGCTACCAAGACACTGATCTTGGGGATCTCACATGCTTTGCGGCCACTTGAATCCTTTGCCGATGCATCGGCCCCGCATTGGAGTAGTAAGCGGACAATCTCTGGTCGGTCCGTTTCCGCCGCCATATGCCTAGGCTGCTCAGTCACCCCAAGGAAGAGCACTTGGAGCTTCATGGGTAGTGAGAAGTAGGGTTGTAAGTGCCCTAAATGGGGTTCTAAGTGTAGCTACCATACTTATAACCCTACTTGTAACCTGAACCTCCTAGTGTAGTGTTTAAGGCTTCGCGCATAGAAACAATTTACCAGTGAGCAGTCTCGATGCAGAGGATAGGTGAATCCGAGACCCCACTTGGTGCGCTTTTTGCGGTTGACGTCCTCTTGGTAGCCCAGTAACCATACTATAATAAGGGCACCCTTTTTTCGGGTTGGTTACTTTATAAGGGAACCTTGAACCCCCCAACAAAAAAAGGAAAGGGTACCACTGGGCTACAACGTCCTGAAGGTTGAAGCCATGGGAGGCCAGGAATTCAAGTAGATCTGCCCGCGCACGGTGTCGTTCCGCACGGAGGTGTGCGATGAGAGCGTCAATCTTGTCCATCTTCTTGCTGCGATGGCTGTGAGCACGATGCGGGCTGTCATCGGTCTCAATCTGTGGTGAATCCAGAGATGGGAAGCCAGGCGAAGCCGTGAAAATCACCTCTTCGTCTGCCTCTGTCGAGGATGACAGCTGTTGGCCGCTACCCTCTGTGCTCAGCGCGCTTTGACTCGTGACAACATCCTCCACATCGCATTGAAAGGCAGACTCGAGGATCCGCGCGAAAGGAAGCATGGAGTTGATATACAAGGCCGTGGGAACTGGGCCCGGCCTTCTTCAGCCGAAAGCCTGAGTTACAAGATTTAACCCAGGAGCCCAGTTGCGGAACGCTTTGTGTACCTGGGATTAATACACCAGTTCGAGGCGCAGGCATGTTGGGTTGAAGGTCGTAAAGGGTGAAATCCACAAGGCGACTGCCTGAAACACCTGGTCGCTTCTGGGGCCTTGTCGTCTTGCTGTATGAAGAAATTCGTCGACCCCGCACCAACCGATAGTTCTGTTTTCGGCACCCTTTCGTCTTCTGCATCCTTATGAAACCCAAACGCCTTAAGCCTTAAACCGTGAACTGAGCACCCCACTTCCAAAAACCTGAGCGACCAAGTTGCATGCCAAAAGGTCCGGCCAGTTTGACCCAAATCCTAACCCCGAAGCCTCACACCCTACCCAGAGAGCCCAATACCCCTAAATTATATCATACAGGGAGCCTCAGTAAACCCTAAACCCTAAACCTAAACCCTAAACCTTAAACCCTAAACCCTAAACCCTAAACCCTAAACCCTAAACCCTAAACCCTAAACCCTAAACCCTAAACCCTTTCATTAAGGGGTATTGGGCTCTTTCCGTACACCTTTCCCAGACAAAGGTGGTCCCGGGATGGCCGCTGTTCTGACCTTGGCAAGGAAGGACTTTAGGAATTTGGGGTTTAGGGTTTAGGGTTTAGGGTTTTAGGGTTTAGGGTTTAGGAATTTGGGGTTTAGGGTTTAGGGTTTAGGGTTTAGGAATTTGGGGTTTAGGGTTTAGGGTTTGGGGTTTAGGGTTTAGGGTTTACTGAGGCTCCTGGAATTCTGGTCTAGGGGGCTTTGGGATTTAGGGTTTTGGGGCTTTAGGGTTTTAGGGCCTGCCTAGCAGCGGTTTTAGGGGCTAGGGTTTTACGCTTCAGGGCTTATCAGGCAAAGGGCTCCCAATCTGCTTCCTTCACACTCCTGGCAGACCAGCGAGGGTTCGGGGCCTAAACCCTAAACTAAACCCAAAACCCTAAACCCTAAACCCTAAACCCTAAACCCTGAACCCCAAACCCAAAACCCTAAACCCTAAACCGACTTGGGGGAGTCCACAATTTCTACCCATTCTGCGGTGCAGTTTTGGATGGTGGCTAGGATCAACTAAAAAGCCGGTTGCTGGGTGTTGGGGCTTCAGGGTTTAGGATTAGGTCCCCCTAAACCCTAAACCCTAAACCCTAGACCCTAAACCCTAAACCCTAAACCCTGCACCCTAAACCCTAAACCCTAAACCCTAGAAATCCCAAACCCCCAAGTCTTAAGGCCCGGTCCCCACATCCCCGAAATCCCGAAACCTCTCTAAGTGGCATTGGCCAGCTGAGAAGCTATCGCCCAAGCTGCGTGCCGCAGGGGCCCTGCTGGTGTAGGTAGGTTTAGAGTTTAGGGTTTAGGGTTTGGGGTTTGAGGTTTAGGGTTTGGGGTTTAGGGCTTAGGAATTAGGGTTTAGGGTTTGGGGTTCAGGGTCGAGAGTTAGGCAGTGTGGTTGGTTCAATGTTTGGCGATTCGTCTAGAGTCTAGAGTTTAGGGCTTAAGGCCTTCCAGGGTAACAACCACGACAATCGCAACCGTCACGAAGCACAAGAGCCACGCAGTCACAATATCAATCGAAAACACAAGAAGACTAGCAATGACAGACGTGAACACCAGTTATCATCGCAAGCATAGCATAACATTGGCAATCGGTATAAGGGACAGCTGAACTGTTAGCATAAACAACATATTTTACTTCGAACATCCCAACCCTCTCTGGGCGGAGATACTCTGGGGGTGGGCACTCCAGGGACACTCTGAGGTTGGGCACTCAGGGGACACTCTGGGGTTGGGCACTCTCGGGCACTCTGACTCCAGGGACACGCGACGCCACTGGGGTTGCGCACTCCTGGGGCACTCTGGAATTGGGCACTCGGGGGTTGGGCACGCCAAGGGAACTTTGGGGTTGGGCGCTCCAGGGATGAGCGAGGAGTAGACCGGGCGAGGAGAGGAGTTCCGGGCAAGGAGAAGAGTTGAGTTTAAACGCTAACAACCTAACACCGAGGGTGGGAATAAAAGCAGAAGTATATGTAGCACATGTACATCGGCATCTCTATCTGTATCTGCAAAGAAACGGACAAAACATCTCTGTTGATTTATTTCTGCGCATATACATACATACACATATATAAATACACACATACGTAGGTATAGAAGAAAACACACATATAGAAACGCAAATACAAGTAAGCTAATAAATATCTAAGAATATATATATATATATATATACGTATACACCTGTACCTATCTCTCTATATGTGTATATGCATACTCATGCATGTGTGTGTGTGACGGCTAACCTGCTTGAAGTGTCAGAACACGTGAGGTCGAGTTGCATCAGCTGAATGCACAGGAGTGCTGCTAAGGCTGTAAGGGCTTCTACCCAAAACCCTGAACCCTAAACCCTAGATACCCAGCCTGGCGCTGAGGCTGCCATTGCTCATGATGCCCCTCTTTCGGCCCCTGGTGTCTCCCCAGGGCCGCTTAGGGGAGACGTTTCCCCCCTAAGCTGCGCTCTGAGCCAACTCCGACGGCGAGTCCCCGGCTGAGGATTGTGGTTTAGGGTTTAGGGTTTCGGGTTTAGGGTTTAGGGTTAGGGCTTTTTTTGCTCCCGCATAGCTGGCCGAACCGCAGGCAGGGTTTAGGGTTTAGGGTTTAGGGTTTAGGGCTTAGGGCTTAGGGCTTAGGGCTTAGGGCTTAGGGCTTAGGGTTTAGGGTTTCGGGCTAGTGTGGGAATTTGGCGCCCAGGCTTCCAGAGTGTGGAGCTTCGTTCTTTAGGCGTGAAGAGGATTCTAGTAATTCCCGGGCTCAGAATGCATGGAGGGTCTGGGGTTGAGGATGAGGGCCCAAGGCC